CCCCCTTCCTTAGGAAGAAGACGTGTGTTTACACGTCTTCAGCCGTCCTCGGCTGTCAAATCGGAGAGTCCACCGTCCATCGTGTAGATCTGCCTTAAATTTCCTCCAGGTATGGCGAGCTTGGTGCGGAACGTTGATGAATCTTCCCGGTTGAATTTCCACCTGCGACGCTTGCATTAAGTCGTGAGTAGCTGGGTCGCAGCTGGTGCTGCGGAGACGGCATGGACGGCGTCCGTGACGATCTCCTCGGTGACCGTTGTGGTCGGCTTGAGCCGCGTGGGATACGGCTGCCTGATCGCCCGGATCCTTACGCCCGTGGTGGCTAGGCGGCTGTTTATATCCGGCGCGGTTAGCTCGCGGATGTTTCGAGCCTCTGGTGTTTTCTTGACGGGGACCTTCTTCTTCGACCCGTCGAGATCCTCGTTTAGATCGGAGTCCCCAAAGAGGTCTCTGAGAATTTGTCGGCAATTTTTCCTTGGCTTCGGCTCGGTTGGTGCTGGCGTCTCTCGGACTAGTCGCCCGATACTCTCAAACAAAACCTCGAGTGTTTTCTCGGGTATTTCGAAGTATTCTCGCTCCAATGCTCGCTCTGCGTTTATTTTTGCGACTGATAATTTTCTTGGTCGTTTCTCGACTTTTATAGGCAAAAAATTGTTTTCGTTATAGTAACTTTTCTTGATTTGTTGTGTTGTCAGTATACACAGCGCCTCGGCTTTAATTATTTTTGTCATGTTCGCTGTCCTCCTTGGTGTTGTTTTGATCGGCCGGGAATAGTCTCTTTAAATCCTGCACGTGAACGTGCCAATGCCACTTGTTTTGACGGTCTTGTAGATCTGCTATTACAGGCAAAATGTATCCTTTGACTATTAAAGACCCGATATAGTGTGGCGCGAGTTTTGCGTTAAATACCTCTACCTTTTTTGATAGAGGGTAAACGCGTTTCTATACTTCCTCTCCTATTTCCGGTCTCCAGTTTTGTCGGCGTAGGTCATAGTAACGTGCTTGGTGTTGAAAAGATCGGGCAAAATGTATTTTAACAGAATGTATTTTAAACTTGAATGCGTCTTCTAATCGTTTCTGAAGCACGTGCGGTGCGGCGGCGGCGGCTCGCGGCGGGCGGTCTTTGGCATTCGGCCGTGCTAGTTCTCGGCCGTGGTTTAAATACGCCGGCGAGTATCCGGTTGCTTCGTGTCGAGCCGTGTTGTATGCAAATTGCAATGCCGAAATCTTTTTGTCCCATTGCTTTTGACTGCGTGAGACAAACTGTGCTACCATCGTCTCGATTAAACGGTTTGTTCTTTCCACTGGGTTGCACTGTGGTGTCCTAGCAGGTGTGAACCGGTGACGAATTTCTAAGCTCTGCAACATTTCAGTCATTTATTTTGATTTCAATTATGTGCCGTTGTCAGATATTATTTCTTCCGGGCAGCCATGCCGTAGCACGACTTGCTCGTAAAGCGCCGTTGTTACGGCGGATCCTGTGGCTTTGCGGAGCGGTTTCAACTCCACCCACGTGGTGAACCTGTCTTGCATCACAAACAGCCAGATACACCCCTGAGTCGACCTTGGTAGGGGGCCGATGAGATCGACGGTTACCTGCTGCCGTGGAGCATCGACAGGTTCTGTGTAAAGTTTTCCGGCCGGTTTTGTCGGTGGGATTTTATGACGTAGACAGTTCTCGCATGTCCGGACATATTTCATTATGTCTTGGAACATGCCTGGCCAGTAATAAATTTGTGCTATTCGTACTATTGTTTTTGTTACACCGAGATGTCCCGCGGTTGGCTCGTCGTGGAATTGAGACATGATTTCTTTCATTTCCCCTTCGGAACACATCGTTTCCACTGCTCGTTTGGCTCGGTCTTGCGGAAATCGAGACTGTGCAATACGTGCCTGTATAAATGATTGTTACGTATCTGATAGTCGAGAAAGTTTTCTGGTGTTTTTTCTACTTTCTTCAACATGCGGTTGTACCATTTACATGGTTTATTTATTTGGATGTTGCATATCTCGTGTTTTCGAGATAGTGCGTCTGCTACCTTATTCAGTGCGCCTTTTCTGTATTTTACCTCGAAAGTGTACTGTTGCTGTTTAAACAGCCATCTTGCCAGTCGTTCGGTCGGTTCCTCCAGCCGCTGTAACCACTTCAGCGATTGATGGTCTGTTATGACTACAAATTTGTACCCTTCGAGGTACATTCTCATACGCCGTATGCCCNAGACGACAGCGAGGCATTCTAGTTCGGTCGCGCTGTAGTTTTTCTCGGCGCCATTCAGGGTTCGGCTTGCGTATGATATTACTTGTTTGCTCTCTTTTGAATTCTGAGTGATCACTGCACCAAGGCCGTGTGTGCTGGCGTCCGTTTGAAGAATGAATGGCCTTGAGTAGTCTGGACATGCCAGTACCGGTGCCGTTGTTAATATTTCGTTTAATTTCTGGAAGTCTCGTTCCTGATCATCTTCCCAGTGCTATTTTACATTATTTTTCGTAAGTTGTGTCAACAGTGCTGCAATTGTTGCGAAATCCTTGATGAATCTGCGATACCAAGATGCCACACCCAGGAATTGTCTCACTTTCCGGAGATTTGTCGGTGTCGGCCATTCCGTGATTGCCTCAATCTTTTCTGGGTCAGTGTGTATTTTTTGTTGGTCGATCACATGTCCTAGGTATTTTAGCCGTCCCCGACCGAACCGGCATTTATCTGGGTTTGGTTTCAGCTTTGGTTTTCGAAGACGCCGAAATACTTCTTTCAGTAGTACCAGATGCTGATCAAACGTTTTGCTGGTTACAATAATGTCGTCCAGGTATACCAGCACGTAAGGTTCAAAATCCGGTCCTAAAATTGTATCCAGCAGTCGTTGGAAAGTGGCGGGAGCCGAGTGTAGACCGAAAGGCGAAATTGCATGAGCCTTCGGCCTAGTACTGTAAACGCTGTTATTGCTCGGCTTTCGGTGACAGTGGGACTTGCCAGTACCCGCTTTTCAAGTCAATCGTGGACAGATACCGGGCGCCTCTTAATTTGTCCAGTGTTGCCGGAATGTGTGGTAGCGAATAGGCATCTTTTTCCGTGACTTCATTGACTTTTTTAAAGTCAATACAGAAGCGATATTCTACATTCTTTTCTTTGATGATCACCACTGGTGATCCACAAGCTCCATACACTCCTGGATGGTTCGATTACGCCCTCCTCCAACATCTTGTTTACTTCCGTATCAATCACTGCTTGCATTGCTGGATTTCGAGGCCGGTATTTTTGCTTAATCGGCGTATATTCTTTTAATCAGATATAATGTTGAAAGACGTCCGTTGGTCTTTTAACGTCTGTAAATTATTGTAATTCTTTGTCCAAGAATTTTTCGAGTCGCTCTCTTTTGTAAACGGCCCGTGGTGATAATTCTTTTGTCATGGAGTACATGTGTGACGGGCTGAAACCCGTTACTACAATTATTATTATTATTTTTTATCATATTTATTATTATTAGTATTATTATTATTATTATTATCATTATTATTATTATCATTATTATTATTATTATTATTATATTTATACAAATATATTCTATTTTATCCTATATCACTGTATAATTATTCCTGACCGCGCCGACTTCCTAACAGTACCGATTACATCCGTGACGTGTTACACGAGCATAACCGACCGTCTATCCAAACCGAACACACCGCCGCCACAAGCGCCGCCGCACCAGACCGCGCCAGCGCAACGCACACCGCACACCGCACACCGCCTTCCGGACGAGGCTTAGGCGCTCGCCGGGTATAAAAAGCGGTTGAAAACTGGTCCGAGGACCATTCCCTTCCTATCCTTCCTGCTGCCGAGGTGCTGACTCGGAAGCATTCTCAGGCCGCCGAGGTGCTGACTCGGGACCAACAATCCGCCCTGCTAGGGACTCTGTCCGATCATCGAGGTGTTGACTCGGGATCACCACTTTCTTCCTCGCCGAGGTGTTGACTTGGGAGGATCCTGTACCAACCGTGCTCAAGGCGTGGACCTAAGCACACCTCGCGCAATTAATAAATTGCATGGCCGAATATGATCGCATTGAAAAAAGTAAGGCCAAATATCAGGCTCGAACAACGCAAAGAAAAACCACACCGAGCACCAACACCGCCGCAACCAATAATGATACCGCGTTAATAAGTCCAAACTACAATCGCGGCGAGTGTTGTTTGAATTGCGGCCAGCGTGGCCACCGTAAAACCGAGTGTAACCACCCTAGTAGCACATCTCTATTGGAACAATATTGGCTAACAATATATAGCCAAATTGTTATGTTGGGTATAAACTAATTTCTCATATTGGCCCAATATTGTAAAGTAGACGCTCTTCCTTTTTTAGCTAATATTAAAATCTAATATTGGACCAATATAGTAATTGCATCTTTAACCAAGATTGGCTAATGATACATACCCAATTTTTTATATTGGATATATGTTGATTTCTAGTATTGGGTCAATATTGTAAAGTAGACGCTCTTTCTTTTTTAGCTAATATTAAAATCTAATATTGGACTAATATAGTAACTGCATCTTTCACCAAGATTAGGTAATAATATATATCTAGCTTTTTTATATTAGATATATCAGTTTTTAATATTAAGTCAATATTGTAAAGTAGAGTCTTTTTGCCGATATTAAATGGTATTATTGGAAAAGACAATGCAATAACTTTTTTTTAATCAATAGTGGCAAAAAGTAATTTTTTATCATGATATAATGTCTCCATCAATATTGAGAAACATTGATAAATGTCAAAAAATTAATTTTTTCCACTATTTATTGAAAAAGAAGTTAGCGCATTGCTCCCTTCTCAAAAATAAAAATTAATATTAAAAAAAAGTCATCAAAATATTGTAACCAACAATATTGACCCAAAATTAGAAAATAATCTATATCTAATGTAAAAAAATTAGATGTGTATTATTAGCTATTCTGAGTTAAAGATTAAATTAAAAATATATTAATATTTATAAATAATAATTTATAATTAGATAAATAATTTATTATTGGGTAAAAATAAATATAAAGTTTGCTGTTATTAATTTGGAAAAACTTATAAAAAACATAAATTTTTAATAGTTTATAGTTCTGTAACTTTTTAATATTTAAGTTTATTCAATATTTATTGTTTTTTGATAAAGTTTATATATAAAATATATCTTTATATAAAACAAACTATAATATTATATATTAACATGTGATAGTTTTATATTAACTGCTTATAAAATTATATAAAATACTTTAAAATACTTGACNAAAATTAAAATAAATATCTACTGTCCATGGTGCTAATTGGCAATCCAAGAAGGATCTTTTACATTATATTTATTGTTTATTTATTGTTTGCTCNTTCTTTTCTTCCTCCTTCTCTGTCTTTACTCTCTGCTAGGAACTTTGAAATTTTTTTAAGAATTTCATTTTTTGATGCGTTTTCTAGTTTTTTCGAAACGATCTCTAGAAACAAAAAAAATATATAAATAAGTTTATTACTAAAGTGTATACAATTTTTTATATTCCAAACTTGATTGTTAATTATTAATATTAACATAAAAAAATTTATGCTTTACTATCCATACAGCACTGAAAGATTGCAGTAACATTGTATAAATCTTATAGTAAAACATTGTAATATTGCGTGATAGTTGCAAAATATATATTTCTGCAATGTTACTGCAAGCTCACGACAACGTTGAAATGTCCGCCTTCAAAAATATTACAATGTAAGACTACAGTAATGTTACATTGCAATGTATTTGTAATATTGAAACGCACAAATATACAAATTGTTTGAAATTTAATAGATAAACTTTAACAACATATATAAAGACATCGGAGAGAAATAAGAACAAACTCGTTGCTAAATTGTGTAAGTTCGTAACTTTTTTGTACTCGAGACTCACAATCAGATATCCAATCGAATGTACAAAGATTATAAATTGACGCAAGTGCATGAGTTTGTTTTCATGTCTTAAATATCTTTATATATTTTCAAAGTTTATTTATTAAACTTGCATATTATGTATCTTGCATATTAAAAGAATATGAACAAATTGGTTTTATATAGAAATTAGTGAACAATTTTTTTTGTGTCTAGTTAATATCGCTATTTTATTTTATTATATATATTGCATTTTACTTTTATATAATAACAACAGCTTTCTTCCTTTACATTTTAATTTAGTTTTATATTTGTCTTATGCTCTTAAAGATGCATAGATAAAAAGAAGACGACTAGTATGAACAAACAAGATATAAAAACGCGTCGAACCTTAATAAAAACATCACTATTGCCTCGCGTATTTTTTTTTTTTTTTTTTTGTATATGTTTTGGTATTTCTATATTTCGCAAATATAAGTAATACAATATACAGGGTCCGCCACTTAAATCCGGACAAATTTGAATTT